CTCGGATTAAACATATGGCCTGGCATCCGCGGCAAATAGTTCATCGTCCAGGCTTAGCATTGGGGCAGGGAGAGGGATCTCGTTCGCTATATTCATGCTGCGAGGCGCAACCTGGCCAGTAGCTCCCAATTATTTGACTCAATAGACTATTGCACATATTCGTTCAGTCAATTAGATCCTAGAGCGAGTGTCGTGCAAGTGGTCGCATACGTGGATCTCCCAACTGACACCGCAGTTCCACTCGGCCAAATGTTCACAGGGGACATTACCTAAGAGCTATAAAGTCCATATCAGTGCAGGTCCCATTTGAGTCTGTCGTCTGTGCCGCTTCACCCAGATCGTCCAATAATAATTGGGAATTAGAATAGGTCTTCGTTGTTATCCCTGAAAAAGGGGAAGAACTTGAACTTGCAACCTTCTGCTTCTGAAAAATTCAAACGTTCTACTCACCATTATTATTGAACATCACTAGAACAAAACGACGGAGATATTCTGGGTCGAATGAGAGATCGGTGGTTACAGCGAGGACAGCATTTGATACCTAAACAGCACTGTGGTTATACTTGTGGACCCTTCGAAACGCTTTTTCACACAAACATGGTTAAAAATAAAGTGGGCGCAAAATTGATGCCCATACTTAGGCAAAGGTGTAAATGGCTCGCATAGAACTGGTCTGGGAATTGGACATAAAGCATGTTTGAAAAGGATAATTGTTACTGCGCGCATTGGTGCCAAGTGCTGCCGATTAGACTTCTTTGAACAGTGCGTTGCCGCCATGTTAATACGGTTATCGATTACAGGAGCGAAAAATCAATAACTATTTTGGGTAAGCTGAAGCGCAAAAACGCGCATCAAGGCTCAGTCCAATCCGATCATTCAAGTGCAGTCAGAACTACCACTGTGCCCCCTGTTTCGAGCGCAGCCTTCCATTCGTACAATCCTCATCATTACGGACTGTCGGGGCGTGTCAGTGCGGCTGCGTTTGGCGCGGTACCGAAGTCGTTCTGCACCAATTGTTGAAGCGGGCAAGTGACATTACTGTATTATATCCTTCGTATTACTCGTTTTCTACCACTTTTTGTCGCATACGCGTTTCAACAAAAAGGCTGAGAACGGCTTCAACAGTGTGCGCACTCCTACTGGCTGACACGCCCCGACAGTCCGTAATGATGAGGACAGTACGTCTTTTGGAAAACACAACAATGGGTCTGGCTCCGCCCATGGCGTGGACTGGGCGTGGGAACCGACTGATTGTGAGTGGTGGCAACAAAATAACAGTCAATCACGGGACATCCGGAACCCGCGCGCGCGGAACAGCAAAACACCCCCGAGCTACGATACAGAGGGAAATCAATATATTATATACTGATTAGTGATATATAAATTTATATATTGCATATAGAGGAGTGGAAGTCACTCTGTATTAAATGACATCAGAACAGTTGTGACGAGTTCGAATCTCACCAGCGTGAGTGTGGATGTAGCCGCCATCAAAGGAACAGACCAGCTGATGTGGTCCCCAGTACAAATCACTTAAATGTCTGTGGTTGGCTTCCATACATCTACTGATTTACAAAGTTATTTGTTAAAAATGACGCGAAAAATCTGTGAGAAAAAAAAACAACTACCGTGCTCTACAGGAGAGGCGCCTATAAAACCATCAGTACACCAAAATACAAACACCTTGTTTTGCGAAATCCAAATGTGCCGCGCGACGAACTATAATTTCAGTAACAATAAAGTGACAAAAAGACACTGGTTGAGACGTAAATTTGATAGCAAAACTGATCAATTCACAGGATAAGCACAGAAGGTCACTGCTGCAAGGAAGTGGGGGCAGCAGATGTTACTGATCACAGCCTGTTTAGGCCACCTTGTGAAGACGTTTGAACTGTTTTCAGCACAGTGCACCTACCATTTTACAGCTTCCCGAGAGTTGAAAGGTCTCTTCAGAGGAGACTTGTTAATTTACATGAGCCAAAATGAGTTAAGGGGGTAACGAAAGTGAAAATACCCCTCCTGAACCAAGCAGGGCCAATTTCCATTTCTTCTATCCATCCCTATCAAAGCTGTAAATGGGAATCATCCAAAAATTCAAAAGACCCAAGAGTTGCGAGGAATGCTGCCCCTTCAATACTTGATTTAGCTCGACACCAAGACTGTTAAGAAGTCTTTATTCGACTGACGTTTGGGCGCCGTCGCCGTCTTCAGAGCCTGGAAAAGCTGCCCCCTCCATATTAGCACACTTTCAACTCCTTCTCACATACCCCTCAAGGCGTTTTGAATGTTTTGAATCTGACTAGTGATTCGCTTCTGCAACAGCCAGTGAACCTGACTCTCTCCGAGTTCTTGCGGCAGCATATTATTTACTAGAGATTTGTCTGATTTTGAATGAACATGCTTTAAAAAGTAGACAAGTAGAAGGTTACTAACTAAAAACAGCTTTTGTGAAAATCCTGAAATAGTTGCTTCTTGTCTAAAACAAGGTTTCACTGAGTCGGTGAACCCAAAAGCTGTGAAAGTGCTGAAAGGATCTTAGCAAGCCTAAAAAGAACGACACTGGGAATACAAGAGAAAATACGCAGCTCTACCTCCGTTAGTGCAGAGTCTTGTACCACAGTCAGGTCCACTAAACAATCCAGTACAATAACAGTAAGTGGAGCCATCGAGGTTTTTGATGAAAATGCCATTGTTCTTGCATCTGGCCAATGGAGGTGGCGCCGTCGCTGGTGGTGTTGGAGGTTGTGTGGCGGGGTTCACTGAAATTTAGGAATCAGGAAATGTAGAATTGTATGTTTGTGTGATTGATAATATGTCAATAGTCCTATGTACCATCCAACAGAGAAAAATAGTGGCACTGTAGCTGAAGGGAAAAGGAATAGTGGTACTGTAGTTGGAGGGGCTTAGGCCCCACCATTGAGACGATCACTGGCATTACCGTATTAGCGGTAGGGCGCTAGCCAACAAAAAGCAGTCGTTGCATGGCACGCTGTCGACTATCGCTCACCTACCCCACTCGCTGCTTCCTCCTCCCCTCTCCTTCCCTACCTCAGTTACACTAGCGTCGAAGAACTGGAGACATGAACATTTTTAACGAATTTTTTTCTTTTCGGCCTGTGCAAATGTACTCAGCCAGATGCCTAACGGTTGAGCGAGAGCGGTTCCGAACTCTCTTGATTCACAACTTTGAAGACCAACTGTAACGTTATTTCTGACGATGAGTACGGTCCTCGCCTGTGCCAGATGAATGGGTTCGCAGCAGCAGTAGCATGCTACTTTCTCCGCGCAAAGTGTACGGGAACGGGGCTAGAGTTTAGAGGGCCTTCCCATGCTCCGCTCGCGCTATCCTCTAGGTGCTGTGCCTACGCTGGTTCCAAAACCCTGCAGAATTCCGCAAGGAAACACGTACTCGGCAGTAGAGAACGATGTGAGAGGGCTCAGGCAACTAGCAGGGTTGGCTTGAGCGAAATGTGTGGCTGGACGTGCGGCAGCGCGAATATGGAGACGGGGCACGGATATCACTACCCTCCACCTCTGTTCCCATGTACTCATGTCTGGAGAAAATGACAAGCCACTACAGAGAGCGCCATTGCGGCACGCTAGGCGAGGTCCTTATGCTTGTCGCTGTACATTTGTCTTCATATGGAAAGGCCTCCTTGCGAGCAGGGATGCCGAAGATAAGTGTAGCAGCTCTGGCGGTGTTGAACAACTGTGGTTGGCGATCTTGTTTGGGTGGGCCCCGACCAATTTTAGGAGGATCGCATGTCCTCACATCTTTTTATGTGGGCCTATTCTATATCATTGTACCTTCCCCTATTCTGCGTTCACACTTCGCGACGCCGTCCTAACGACACCAGCGTCCACCGGCGATCAGGAGTAGAGAGTATGGGGGTGCTAATAGGTATTAAACTAGTGGTGGAATATGGGGAAGTAGGAGGAAACAGCTGAATTAGGCCTCGTGAAATTACGGCGTGTGCTACTGTCCCGTACCACTAACCAATACTGAATACTGTATTTTTGTCGCTGGTGGACGTCGGTAGACGTTAAATCGACATCCATACTTTCCTAGTCCCTCGAGACGCTGATGGACGTTCGAAATGCTGATGGTCGCAGGTAGACGTTGCCGCAAAGTATGAACGCAGCCTTATGTTCGTTCCACATTCACAGCAAGGAAAGCACTTCAGCAAAGCATAACGGTAGGCCTTAGCTCGCGTGCATGATCAGTCGTCTGAGAGGCGCAACCAATAGCTTGCATGTCGAGAAACAGTAATTTCCGTAGGACTTACCAAGACAATTGAATGGGACTAGCGCCGGAAGCTGTATCCTTGGAACGAAACTCCTTCTATCTGAAGGAAAACGCTACTCTAGTGACAGCTCACAACTTGTTGGATTTAGAGAAGAAGTTGACTTACCTGATACACGTAACTTCCAGTCTTCTTACAGTAAAATGTCTCGAAGACGTACTCGTACGAACAGTTGAATCTTGAGGAAAGGACGCGTGGACGGTACATAGTCTGAAACAAGTCTTTCTTGGGTTGGAAGCTCAGTCCACGCTTGTACATTCACACGTATGAATTCGAGGATAGCGCTGGACACCTTCCTCTTGGCGCGCTTCGTCGCGCTCTTGACCGTATCAAAAGGAATGCGCATCAATAGGAACACAGTAGTAGGCCCGGCTCCGCATACACCGGCCAACTTGGAGTTGCGACTTGAAGTCGACTTGGAGTTGCGGGGGCCAGGTGAAAATATGAAAGTTCATCTTGCTTCACTGTACTTAACAGTGGGGTAGTTCGACCGATTTCTCAACCTACTAAAAGTCCCATAAAACCAGCGAAATCAAAAAATGAATTCAA